GGGGGGGGGGCTTGTACATGATGTGACACCCAAGAAAAGCTGGCAAATGACACAATTTTATCGCTCCCCATCAACCACAGGACACGTGCATGTGCTTCTGAGTGAGTGCGTGTATGTGTGTGAGATTATGGTCAGGTTTATGGTTAATATTTACATGTAGTGAATTGTTATTAGATAGTAAACACTGACAGGGTGAGCTGATTTAGTGCAACAGGCCTCTTGAAAACCTAAACAAGCTCCTGTGTTAACCAGACACACCACATGTGGTGTCCAGAATTCTAAAGGGAGCTGATAAAATAATTAACTACACAGACAGATAAAGAGCACAGTCTAATGACAGCCAGTCTTAAAGTTTGACAAAACGCCTCCTTCTTAGGTTTCCCCTTACAAGTCCTGATTCTTCGGAGCCGCAGAAGGCAGACTTCAAATGAGAGAAGATCCCGCCCAGAGGCATGATTGGCCAGTGATAGTAAGCAACTCTTTTCCAGCCTGAAATGTGCTTTATCTACTTCTTATAAAGCCGTGTGCCCTGGTCACCAATCTCTTAATTTACAGAGGAGTTCGCTGGTCACTAGCGTATACAAAAATATGATTAAAAATGGCAAACAAATCAGATTTAGCTGTATCTCTCTGATGAACTCAATAGATTTAGACAGATTTTGGTATTTTAGAGTATTTCCAGGCTAGTGTACTTAGCAATCAATACTTCACACCGCATTCCCTCGAAGTACATTTGTATTTCTTAAAAATGTAGTCAGATTAAAATGCACATCACAAGAATCCCACAACCTTTAGTATTATAAAATAACCAATATTTTTTAGTGTAATGTGAGAGCCAATAGTCGTCTAGTGTTTCTGAATTTACTATCAGTGTCTTCCCCTTTTTCCCCTTACACACATTTTAGTTGTGGTTAAATCTTACATATAATGAAACAGTTAGTTCAAGAATACAATGAGAAAAAAATATATTAAATTAATACCCATTAACATAAAAGGATGGTTCCTATTGTGGTCTTCAGGAATCTCAGAACAGCTGAAAATAATTTTGCTTGCTTTCTTATTTACAATAATTCTTAGCCCTGTGTGCTGGGGGGATGTACCAGTGGCAAAGTTTACAAATAAAACCAAGCAAACCAAATTTTTCACTGAAATAGAAAATTTATTGAATGAGAAGGTTATTATTGAAGGTCTAGATTACAATAGAAACAATGATATTTTTCCTTAAATGGAAGAATTGAGTGTTTCCTGTCAGTTTTGCGTCAGGTGGAGTGAAACTTAAAATATCTTTGACAAACCAATTCGGAATAAAAAACAGTGTAAAAGTCGGCCTTTTTTAACGTATTTTTCAAATGTGATATGAAGGATTAAATCCAGTATTTTATCACTTAAAGAAGAAGCAAGTTAAAATAAAAATACAAAATCGTTATAATAATTATACACATGGTGTATTTTATACATATAGGGAAGCTTGATTGCTTTCTTTCGAGACATACAATAACTGCATAATAAGAGTTTTCTCAACAAAAAAAGTGATACAATTGATATACAAGGCTTATGAGACACCTAGAATGTCGTATTGTTTTGTAATGCTTTTTTTTCGTGGACTGCAGTGAACGTACAGCAGAGTCAATCAGTACTCGATTTTGTTATACAAGTTGTATAAAGGTAACGCTGGCAGGTTGCTTCCCGGGTAGTACAGGGGCGTCGGAAAGGCGATAGACCTAGGGACGGGAACACGCAGTAAGGAGTTATCTCTGAAAACCAGCGGCATCCCCACTAGTGTCTGTGCGGAGGCGTGGGCCATGTTGGCCGCCTCCAGTTCAGCAGAGAGCTGTCGTTTCCATTTGTTCCTCCTGTTCTGAAACCACGTCTTGACTTGAGTCTCCGTCAGCTGTAAGCTGGAGGCTAAGCAGGCCCGCTCCGAGCTGCTCAGGTACCTCTTCATGTCGAAGGTGGACTCCAGCTGGTACACCTGACTCCGGGAGAAAACCGTGCGCGTTTTCTTTTTGGCCGAGCTGCCCTGCTTGTCCGCACCGTCTGTTTGTCTCTCCTCCGACAGAGGTGACATTTGATGGCACGGTCTCTCCTGCTCCTCCTTATAATCCTGCAGCAGAGGCTGTGACAGGTGCGGCCGCCGTGCGAGCCCGTCATTTCCAGACAGAAGTCCTTTAGCGGGACCTAAACGCAGCAGGGGGAGAAGGACGTGATGAGTAGGCTATCAGCGGTCTATGATTTAAGCGTGCTTTTTAAACGACTGAAAAAAAAATGTTTTACATTTTTTAGACATACTCAGTTTGAGAGTTCGTCAAGTGTGAACTCTGACTTGTTAAATCGACTGCTGAAAGCCTGTGACTTTTTAAATAAACAATTCAGCGTGAGTGTGCACGGTGTACAGTAAGCTATTAATTAAATCCAGCTCTATTTAACGCTCAATTGACGACGTGTAGTGCAGCCATTTTGGAAACATGTTTCGTCAATTAGGAGGCTCAATTAAATTTGAAACGAGAGGAAAGACAGAGGGCTAATTATTCGACCTTCCACTCTTCCGCTGCTGATGCGATAGTCTGCGCAGAACGTACAAGTGGCAGCGGATGGTCTGCGTGTCAGTGTAACAGTCTCAAACACAAGCTAGTGAAAAGTGAATCAAAGTGCAAACAAAGCATTAAACCTGTTATTTCTGTGAAAAAAGAAACTCAGCTGAATAAGTTTGAAAGTGTATCTGTGGGTGATAATATTGTATTAATATTTCTTTGGTTTTTAATTTTAATAATAATAATAATCCTTACCTAAACAGGAAAAGTTATGGGGTTGGTGCTGGGTGCACGGCTCGCTGTGACCCGTGTCGGAGCAGAAGCAGTCTGCTGAGTCCTCCCCGCCGCTGCACTCCTCCTCGGACGACACCGACAGTGAGCGCCTCCGCGGCGCTGGCGGCGGCCCCTTGGAGAGCTCCTTGGTCCCGGAGCGCGGCTCATCGGATGGCGTGCCTAAAATAGACTGGATAGTAAAGCTGGAAATCGGGCCCGACGAGCACTTGCTCCCGCTGTCTTCTGCGCTACTCATTCTCGCTTCATAACAGTATTGAAGTATTGACTGAATCGGTCTGTCCCCTTGTATTCCGTTATTGCTTTCTACGGGGTTGGTGCGCGAAAAAATTACGAAAGCGCCTTTTGTCGGCTTTTGTCAACACAATCCGGTTTAATTGTGGAGTTTCAACATTGAAGGAGTTGGAGGTGTTTTTTCTAGAGCTCGAGGTACATGAGTGTATTCCTGGTCCTCCTCCTCACGCTCTGGATCAGAGGCAGCAAGGCTGCGTTGCTTCATTTGCATGTAGGTAAGCTCCTCGTGAGCCAATGGCAGCCTCCAGCATGAGCCCGGAAATTTCAAACTCCTGTCTAGTTTTTTTTCGGGGTTTTTTTTTCAGATATGATGAGAAGAAGGAGAAAGCCGAAGAGGAGTATTGGCCTTCGTTTTTACATTCACTTAAAACACTCAGACTAGGCGCCCTAATATGCAGACTATGGTCTGTATGACTCAGAAGAGTCACCAAACTTGACTTCTTTTCCTGTATTTTTATTGCTTACAAGTGTGTTAAAGTATTTCGCTTTAACGCTTACAACAGCTTGGTGTAAGTGCGTCTAAACTGCGTTGCCTTCCATAATTTCAGACAGTATATCTCAGTTTATTAGTTATGTAAATGTATAATACCCATCCAAGAAAAGAGGAACTGTCGTGTCGGCTTTTTCTGATTATGATAAAACTGGCTGGCGTGACGGCAACGCACACACAGTCTTGGAACTAAGACAAAGGCCTAACTCATTTTTCCTGAAAATAATAAACTCATTCCGCGTCCATTATCTACGATTAAGAATTAATTTGATCATTACTGAGCTAATCTGCCTCGTGATGACCGCGCGTGGAGTGGAGGCCGGCTAATTGATTGACTAATTGATTGAAGGTGGTGGGGGCTGAGTGCGTGCGCGCGCGCGTGTGTGAAGAGGGGATTTGCTTCCCACCACCGCCCATCTCCCACCTTCACCGCCCATGCTCTTTCCGTGCCTCTCCCTGGTTGTGTGTGGATGCGGGACAGCTGCGGGGCTTGAGCTTGAGGTTCGGGCACATTATCCCTCTTTTACTGGTTTGTGATGAAGCCCCAGACACATTACAAATAGTCAGCTTTAATCATTATGTCAGCGCCCTTCCTGGTAGCAACCCAAGCGGCGTTCGGTGTTAAGACAACTTGGAAAAGGGAGAAGACTGTGGCTGTGGACGTGATGCTGCTCCTGATGCTGCTGCTGACGGCCGATTCTGTCAGCAGCTGCATCACGGCAGTCAGATGGATGCATCCGGATCCACGCGTAAATATCCTCAACTGGCAGTGGGACCAGCAGCTGCTAAATGATCTTACTAAAACGCTTACGCAGGGGAGGCTTTTACTGAAGGGGGGCAAATATATGAGGGCAGCCAGGGTGGATGCTGAATTTATGGTGGTTACACATAAGGCGTGAAATCTGCAATGACAGTTAAATGGGTTTATTTTATATGCCGCTCCTTTCAAACAAAGACCTTTGTCGGCGCAGGCGCCTTCATCACTTTCAGACGACTTTTGCGTCGTCTGAAAGTGAGATTGGTTCATCACGGAGATAGTGGACATAACAGACTGCCATTGTGCTGCAGAGAATAAATTAAGCATGTTTTTATTTTTTTTTATTTAATGTCAAAGTGGTTTTATAGGCCAGCAGTACAGGCTGAGCAGTATGGGTCCTTCTAATGGAATTGAAATGTTCATCCCTTACCTATGTTACATACGTTTCAAGGCCCGGCGAAGCCCAAACAGCAAGGAGTGGGCCTAAGTCCGCGTTCTATCACAATGATAGGTGGTGTATGGCCGCCCTACCGCAATAACAGAACAAGATCTTTAGCAAGAGAGAACGGTCTGAGAAAGACAGATGAAGTTATGAGGCGCTTTGATCTGGGAATCAAGCTTCGATAAATATTAAACAAAGACCCGTTACACGTGTGTATTATGATATATGGCGTGTCCAAGTCTAGAATAAGGAAATTACCAGAGAAAATGATATCAATAAATTTTCTAAGTATAAACGTTGATTATGTTTCGATTTTCATTCAAGAAAGCGGGGCCTGCTCTTTTTTCAGGAGGCGTTTGGGTGCCTCCGTGCGCGCACATTTTGTGTGTATGAGGGTGTGCGCGCCTGAGAGAGAGAGAGAGAGAGAGAGAGAGAGAGTTGTAAACGCAAGCAGAGCACCCAAGCCCTGGAGGTGTACAATTTATGTAATCTGAGTGTGGAAATGAACTGGGTAATTTATTGGAAAACACAAAGTCAGGAAGATTGGATCAGTACAGCCTATCCAAGGGCTCCTATCCATCAAGTTCCAATTAACAACCTAACCATTGAGTTTTAATGGCTTTCCAATCTACTGCCCTGATAGACTCATCAATTCCTCGGGGAGAAATTAAGAAAATCGACCGCCCCTCGGCGTTTCAGTGTCATTCTTCACAGCAACTATATGTCAAATTAAAAACACAATTAAAATTTAAACTGTTCCAATCAGACGGTGCCCCGCAACCTATGTTTCACTTAATAGAACTTTGATGAAAATCTGATGCTCGCATTCAATCAGGAAAGCAAATGGGATGGGTTTAAAACAAGATTTCCTCTTTGAGAAGTGTCAAAAGAGTTCTTCAAACGCATGACTTTGGCAACTTGAGGTGTCGACGTCGCTTTTATCTGCACGCAGATTACGGGAATTCACTGGTATACGATTTGTATATGACTGTATGCAGTTTTTTTTTAGCAGTAAAGAGCCGAAGATCCTTTATAAGGAGGTTTGCTTAAACGTTTCTGTACCCACAATCACAACAATTTGGCCCATTTTGCCAGAAGAAGCCAGGAAAGATGATGTTTGTTGTTGGATATGACTTTTCAAAGATATCGAAAACTTTAGAGGTCAGGGTTTGAGGACAAACGTGGATTCGGACTGGGACTCTTGTGATTTTTGTTTTGTTATGAAAACGTCAGATTCCCCAAAGATCTCGGGGACCTTATTTAATCTTT